GGACAGAGAGAGCCTTAGGATGGGGTAGTCCAGGAAGGCTTCTTGAAAGAGGTGGGCCTGGGCTGGGCCCTGGACAGAGGAGAGAAACTGGTCGGGCCGAGGGGAGATGACCTCTGAAGGTCGCTCCCTGCCCAAGGTCTCTGATTTTGCAGGATCCATATGCCATCCTCGCTGAGTCTCTCCCGCTCTCACCAGGGATCCGAAGGCTGGAAATTAAAAAGTCGTCATTTACTGGAAGAAGGCAGCTTTGGGCCCTGGGGCCGGGCCGATGAGGCCGGAGGTGACGATGCCTGTTCACAGCCTGCCTGGGCTGAGGGGACGGGAGAGTCATTGCCATCTGGCTGCTGAGCCGGGCTGGTCAGAGGAAGGACACAGCGGCTTGGCTGGGTCACCGTCACTCAGGCTGGGGCTGGAAGCTGCGGGGGACTGTCCTGTATCCTGGCCTCCCTCCGGCCGCTTCTCCCCAGCTGCTCCCTGACTCCCACCCCACCCCCGCCTGGGCCTGGGGAGAATGTCTGTGGAAAAGGGGACAAGATGACACAGACACATTTTCATTCATGCCTGAGAAATTTCCATCGCTATGGTCCGACTTTCACTGAGGTGGCTTTGAGTGTCTGTCTGGGCCAGGTGCAGTGTTCGTGCCGGGGTGCACCCATCAGCCGGACACGGTGCTCCCCTTGCAGGAGCTGTCTGCTGGGTGTTATACGAAGGGACGCAACTCAGCTTGTTTATCCTTGTTGCTCACCCTCCACACTAAAGAAGCGCCTGGCTTTCAGATCTGGGTCGTAGAGTAGGAACCGTGGGCAGAGCGAGAGCCACCAGCTCTGATCGAGCAGTGAGGTGGGCCAGGTGGAGGAGGGGAACCGTGACTACAAGTCCCATCCGAAAGGGGGCCCCACCCGTCAGCTCCAGTCACCTGCTCTGTGGAGGGGAGTGGGCTGGATCGCCATGTCTTTGGATTTTTCAAGGGAAGCTGGAGATAGGGAGTTTTAGCATGTAAGTTGACAACTAACTCAGAGAAATATTTCAAAAACATGGTGTGGAACACACACGCACATGTACACGTGTGTGCATGTCGGAGTTGGGCCACTAGTCAGAACCCGATAATTTCTGCAGCAGAAAAAGTAAGCCAGGAAAGTGAAGGGAAGGGGGGGGGGTGTAATTAGAGATTCTAAGTTGATCTATCAGAGAGAGAGAGAGAGAGGGAGAGAGAGAGAGAGAGAGAGAGAGAGAGAGAGAGGCAGTCTGCATGGGGGCTGGGGAGGGGGAGAGATTTGGCATTTTGTTTAAGAGACAATCCAGGGAAGTAGTCGGGTGTGAGATGTTTGACCCGGAGAAAAGGGATTTTGATAAAGATTGCTTTCGGGTTATGAATGACGTCACTTCTAATGCACTCCAGTCGAAGTTGGCATTCTTTCCTGGAATTTTTACGTGGCTGCTGGCTGAGGTTTGTTTTTTTTTTTCAATATATATTCTTATAAGCCTGGATTACATGGAAACACAGTTTATATTTAGGTTATAAGTACCATGCAGTGGATTCAATTTCTTGACTTACACGGAGTTCACTTCCATGAATTCGTTATAATACGGTTGGGGTAAGAGAGAAGAAAAGACTTCGTGGGTGAGGGGGATTCTGCCGGCCTCTCCATCCACTATTCCTACAGGGAGCACGACATGAGAGAGCTCAGTCCTTCTCGGTTCTCACAGGCCTCTCACGGGTGAGCTTTCTGCACTGAGTGCGACTTGAGCAGAAGGGGGTGTGTGTGTGTGTGTGTGTGTGTGTGTGTGTGTGTGTGATTCAACCTGGATCCTCAACACGAGCCAATCATTTCATCTAATACCTAGATAAAGAAGCAGTGATCTGTTCCAAAAACTAGAGGAAAACAGGATTATTGGACTGGTTGAAAGATAGTCTATGACTTCGCACCCTTCTGGGGGATTTCCCAGGGCCATTTGGACCGACATGATCGTTGTCTCGTGTGCTGACCTTTGGGAGCGATGGCCAGGTGATGCCATTTTTAATGCCATGCCAAGAAGCTTGGCGTTGTACCCCACAGATGCTGTCGTGAAGCAACGGGAGACAAGGGGGAGGAATACGATTTTCTAAACTGCCCCCCAGAGTCCAGCTCTAGAAGGCAGGAATGTGGACCTGACTCCACAGGTCCGGCCACTGTGTGATTCCGAGCTTGGTTTGAGTCCTCTCTCTTCCAGGGAGGCCCCTGGAGCTCGTCCCCACAGGGAGAATCCTCGTGGGTGTGATGGCGGTATTTTCCGTGTGCCCTGCTCACACGGTACCTGCTATACACTTCACCTGCCTCTTCCTTCCTTCATTCAGCAAATAGTTATTCTTACTTTCTCCACTACGAGCAGCATGCCAGGTTTTGTAGATAAAAGAAGATGAACAAGACAGACAGAGCCCTGGCCGGTTTGGCGCAGCCGTTAGAGTGTTGGCCTGCGGACCAGAGAGACCCGGGTTTGGTTCCCGCTAAGGGCACGTACCTCGGGTGCAGTTTGTCCCTGGACCTGGTTGGGTCGTGTGGGTGGCGGCCACTCGATGTGTCCCTTCACATCGATGTTTCTCTCTCTCTTCCTTTCTCCCTCCCGCTCTATCTGAAGATAAATGCAAAAATGTCCTCAAGTGAGGATAAAAATAATAATAATAATAATAAAAAAAGACGGACGGAATCCTGTTCTCATGGAGCTTTACTTTTTCCTTTTCAGGTCCCACAGACCTCCCCACCCCAAGGCTGTGCCCACCGTTGTCCCTACTTGAAGTCCTCTGGTCCCCTCCCCTCCTAATTATCCTCCGTTCTCAGGTGGGAAAGGAACACTTCCTGGGGAAACCATCTTCAGTCCCCTACTCCCCAGAAGGGATCAAGTCACCTCATTACGTGTTCTCAGAATGCCTGGAATGTTTTCATAATATCCCAGTTATACCCAAATCAGTATTTATTTGACGTCGCCTCCCTGCTATCCCATCAGCTCCATGCTTCGGGCAGTATGAATATCCTAATATTAAGCCTTTTGATTCATGAGCATGGGATGTCTTTCCATTTGTATGTCTCCTTTGATTCCTTTCAACGATGTTTGTAGTTTTCAGAATACACGTTTAATACTTCTTTTTATTAAATCTGTTCCAAATTATCTTATTTTATGCCATCGTTTGCTTAATTTTATTTCCAGATTTATTTCATGGCAAGTGTAGAGAAATACAGTTGACTTTCGTATATTGATCTTGTATCCTGCAACCTTGCTGAACTCATCATTAAGTCAAATAGTTTTTTAGTGGATTCCTTAGGATTTCCTATATGCACAATCACGTCATTTGGCAATAGAGACAGTCTTACTTCTCCCTTTCCAATTTGCATGCATCGTATTCCATGTTTTCTACCCCGATTCCCTGGCTAGGACCTCCAGCATAATGTCGAATAGAGGAGGTGAGCGTGAACATCTTTATCTTATTCCTGGTAATAAACGTTTTTAAAAGAACATTAATTTAGATGGCAAGTCTTGAAAACACTTTGAATAAAAAACAAATAAATAAAACAGAAAAGCCAGACATGATACTTTGTAGCCTTGTGCGCTGTACTCTGGAAGGGTTATCTGTGCTGAGGCCTCCCCACTACGGTGCCTCAGTGTTAGTGACGGCAGAGGACGTCTTCTGCTAAAGCAGTGGGCACTGTGGGCCTGGCCCTGAAGGCAGGGCGTGGTGACCAGCTGCTGGACAGGCAGTCAGCAGATGGCCTCCGGCTCTCCGCCCCTTCAGACATCATCTCAGCGGCCTTGCCCCAGGTCACGCCTCTTTCTGGGGAGCCCACATCCAGGGAGCCGTTTGTGGTGGGAGTATGCAGCCCTGGTCATCTTGCCCAGTTCGAGATAACTCTGAACATCGTCCAACTCTCGAGCTCCCTGTGGGCTTGGCTAAGGCTGTTGCTGGGGCTACACTGTGCCTCAACTTCTCCCTCCGTTCGCCCTTGCTTCCTTCCTCTTCCTTCCCAGAGGCCCTCCCTCCGTGAGGGACAGCCTGCATGTCACCTCCCTGTCAGAGTCTTGGCCGAGGACTTCCCCGTCCACCCATGCCTGCCTGTTCCTCTGTCCACAGGACCCAGCCCTCACGTACCTCTAGGAGGCGTATCATAAGCACAACATCTTTTGAAAGATTTAAGTAATTTAATTTTTCCATGTGTGGGCCCGGGGTCACTTCTCCTCTGTGAATCAGTAATAACATTTAATGCATTCCCGGAGTGACTATGTCACACATTCCGGTGGTGGTTTCTCAACCAGCCGTTGACAACTGGGTGCGTGATCTTGCGCAGGACACTGACGAAGGAGTGATCATGCCAGGATGTCTGATCCCGGCCATGTGGGGTTCCGTTGCTAACTGGATCCTGGTCAGCATTTTATTTTAATGAACTCGGGGTCTATTAGGCTGAGAAATGGCCACTCGATGACATCAGGACACAATCCCTGGAACCTATAAGTGTTATCCTCTAAGGATCGAGGGTCTATGGTGATGTAATTAAATGAAGGGTCTTGGTATGGGGATATTATCCTGGATTATCTAGGTGGACCCTAGATCCAATCGCAGGATGTGTTGCCTGGAGGTTCCAGTAACTTCCTAGTGAGTTGATGTGCTGAGTGTTTGAGTTGCCAAGGATGGTTGCTTAGCGAAGGGAAATTGAGGCAGAGATACCAAGGGCTGCAGACACCATCAGTGACCGGTGGGGTCCAACACCTCTCCCTTGGCAACTCTTTTATTTATTTATTTTTTAAAATATGTTTTTATTGAGTTTTGTAGAGAGAGAGGAAGGGAGAGTGAAACATCGATGTGAGAGAGAAACACTGTCTGGCTGCCTCCTGCACGCCCCCTACTGGGGATCGAGGCTGCAACCTGGCCGTGTGCCTTGTTTGGGAATCGAACTGGTGACCTCTTGGTGCGTGGAACAATGCACAACCAACTGAGTCACAGCGGTCAGGGCACCCTTGACAACTCTTAAAACACACACACACATAACCTTTCCCAATTGACTTGTCTTCCTGTGCAGGGGCCATGCTGATCTTCTCTGCATCATTCCGAGTTAGTCTATGTTCTGTGTTTCTCTTGCCCAAAGGAGCATCCTCCTGGGAAAGGTGCTCTGTGGCTTCTGCTGCCCAGGAAGCAGCGGGCTGAGCTCGCCCGCTGAGAGCGTTGGCGTGACCCGGGGCTGAGGGCATGACCCCGGGCTGAGGGCGTGGCGTGACCCCGGGCTGAGGGCGTGGCGTGACCCCGGGCTGAGGGTGTGGGCGTGACCCCGGGCTGAGGGCGTGGCGTGACCCCGGGCTGAGGGTGTGGGCGTGACCCCGGGCTGAGGGTGTGGCGTGACCCCGGGCTGAGGGTGTGGGCGTGACCCCGGGCTGAGGGCGTGGCGTGACCCCGGTCTTCCCTGCCCCTGCAGCCTGCAGAGAGCGCCGGGGTGGGGCCGGGAGCGCTCGGCTTCCCTTTGCCTCCTCTGCTGCTCCCTCCTGGAGCAGACGGTTCGCACTCGGCACCCGCTCCAGACAGGCCTGCGCACCTCTCCCCTAAGACGGCTAAGGGTTGTCGCTAGGCTGCAAATGAGCAGCTTCGATTGCTTCGGAAAAGATATTACAGTTTTATCTCCTTGTACTGTTCAATAAAACATTAGTATCTCAGCATTTTTATTTAACAATAGGCAACCTTAGGCCAGTAATTATGCAACAATTATAATCATAAAAACTGTCCCCTGCTGCTCACCTAGAAACACGAATATATTAAACCGAGACTAACCATCTAAAAGGCAAGCAGCGAAGCCCCTCATTTTTAATGTCCCTGCAGTGCACCATGGGAAGCTAATAATTCACCCTCTAATTAGTACCCCTTCTGCTGCTGTTGGCGCAAGGACAGACAAAGAGGAAGCGGCTTCCTTACAAACTCGCCTTGGTAATCTTTAAACGTCGGGCTGCTCTGCGGGCTGGCTGCGAGAGAGGGTGAATGGGGTGTGCAGTTAGAAGGGGGGCAGGGGCAGACCTTGTCCTGACTGGAGACCTGAGGGTACAGCCCCTCTGAGGGCTGCAAAGCACCCAGCGCCCCACGTTGCGCTGTTGATGGTAGAGGCTGCTCTAGTGGGGTGCTGAGGGCAGACAGTGGTGGGGATGGGGGGACTCTGAGGGTGGACTCCCCCAGACAGGAGGGTGGGGTGCTGAGGGCAGACAGTGGTGGAGATGGGGGGACTCTGAGGATGGCCATGCCCCAGACAGGAGGGCGGGGTGCTGAGGGCAGACAGTGGTGGAGATGGGGGGACTCTGAGGGTGGTCAAGCCCCAGACAGGAGGGCGGGGTGCTGAGGGCAGACAGTGGTGGAGATGGGGGGACTCTGAGGATGGCCATGCCCCAGACTGGAGGGCGGGGTGCTGAGGGCAGACAGTGGTGGAGATGGGGGGACTCTGAGGGTGGCCATGCCCCAGACAGGAGGGCGGGGTGCTGAGGGCAGACAGTGGTGGAGATGGGGGGACTCTGAAGTGGACTCCCCCAGACAGGAGGGCATGTGCATCTCCTCAAGTTCGCTTCCCAACTTCACTCTCCAAAGTGAACAACCTGATTCTCTGACCTGGCCTCTCTGCACAGGGCCCTCTGAGGACTTGGGGGATCAGGTTGGACTTCTTTTTCTTCATTGATCTTTACTGTTGGAAGTATTACAGATGTCCCTCCTTTCCCCCCATTGACACCCTCCCCCTCCCCCCTCCACGCCTTTACCACACTGCTGTCTGTGTCCATGTGTTGTGTGTACCTGCTTAGAAATTCTTTGGTTTATCTCTTCCCGCCCCCCTCCACCTGCTTCCCACCTAGGGTTGTCAGTCGGTTCCCTACTTCCATGTCTCTGGATCTATTTTGTTCATCAGTTTAATTTGTTCATTAGATTCCACACATAAGTGAGATCATGTGATACTTCCCTTTCTCTGACTGGCTTACTTTACTTAGCATAATACTCTCCATGTCCATCCATATCATCTCAAAGGGTGAGATCTTTCTTTCTTACAGCTGCATAGTACTCCACTGTGTAAATATACCACAGCTTTTTTGTTCACTCATCAACAATGAGGTGTCACCTCACACCTGTCAGAATGGCCGCCATCAACAAATCATCAAACAAGTGTTGTTGAGGGTGTGGAGAAAAGGGGACTCTAGTGCACTGCTGGTGGGAATGCAGACTGGTGCAGCCACTGTGGAAAACACTATGGTGTTCCCTCAAAAAATTAAAACTTGAACTTCCATTTGACCCAGTGATCCCACTTCTAGGAATATACCCTAAGAAGCCTGAAACACCAATTGGAAAGAATATATGTACCCCCATGTTCATAGCAGCACTATTTACAATCGCTAAGATCTGGAGACAGGTTGGGCTTCTTAACGACCAGAGTCCATCCTGGCTGCCTCCATCATGGCACAGGTGAAAACAGCCAAAGCCCAGGTCAGGAAACAGTCACGGGGGTGACCAGCACAAGGCTCTCAGGACCCAAGGGCAATAGGGAGTGGAGGGGAGTGTGGTGAACTGGGCTCAGGCACCCTGGCAGGGCAGCGGCTACTTCCTTCCAGTTGATTAGTAACACAGAGCCCAGGCCTGGTGTGGCTAGATCTTCAGATCCGGTAAGAACTCATAAACCTAGATTCTACTTCTAGGTAGAATCTTTGAAGTACATGTTTTCAACTACGCAGAAGGACACAGTCAGTACAGTATTTTAAATACCATGTGATTCTCTGAGCCAGACACAGGCTTACGTGCCTTCGGGGTGCAGGCCAGCATCTGTGGGCCACAATCAGCGACAAGGGTTTCTCCGTGTTGAGTTTTGGGTCCACACTGACCATTAATTGGCCTTCCCCACACCGGCCCTGTGGGGCCAGGCAGTCGGGGCCTCTCACCGGACAGTAGGAATCAGGTTGGGAGGGAGTCCAACAGCTGGGTGCAATTAGGCAGCAGGATTAAGCCTAAGTTTAAAAAAGGGGGGCATTTTCCTCTCCATCACCAGCTCATTAAGCTTCCCGCTCTGACAGCTGGCGCCTTTCCAAGACCGCTGAAGCCAGATTCTCTTCCTCCAGGGCCAGCTGAGAGCACCTAAGTCACGGCAGTGAGGCTCCGTGACCTGAGCTCGAGGACAGCAGTGAGCTGAGTCATGGGCTCCTGGGGTCCCGGGGCTGGCTCGCTCAGAGCCCCCGCTCTGTCCAGGGACGGGCCCTGCCAGGGCGCATGGACGGCCGAGCACTGAGCTGAGAGGTTGAGCTGCTGGGCGGGAAAGGGGGAGAAGCCCCGGCCGACGCCGGAGCAGCCAAGGCTGCCAAGGTCTTCTGGCCACGAGCCTTTGCCCTGTCGCTGCCTCTGACCGCTGCCCCAGCCCTTCCTGGGTCATCAGCCAGGGTGGCACAGTCCAGGAACAGGGCCAGCAGGAGCCTCCGCAAGTTAGCTCAAGGTTGGGGAGACAGCAAAAGGGCCTTTTTTGAGCCACAAGGAAGCAGAGATTCGGACGCATTTGTCTCCGCTGCAAGCAGAATACTGATCCCCTTCGCTCCGGGCTCTCGCAGAGGAGAACGCCTTTTACTTAACCCTTCGGTTGTCCTCAAGCAGCACAGATGGAGCAGCTCAGGGCTCTCCTCAGGGCTGGGGGCGCGGGAGGAGCCTGTGCCCGAGGGGCAGGGGTGGCCAGCAGCTGCCAGGATGGGTGTGGAGGGCCACCCGGGTGCCCTGTGGCTGAGCTTGGCAGGAGGAGCTGCGAGCTCTGTTCTTGGGGAGCAGGTTGTTTCGGGGTTTTGTCTTTTGTGTTTTAAGCATTAACATTTTAAGAGTCTACAGTAGACTCTGGTTCAGGAGAACAGCGGCTCCTGGCTCCAGTAACGAGGACGTACCTACCCAGGCTTGGTTCTGGTCTCAGAGAGCTACATCCCCAGGGAACAGAGGCCACTGACATTTATTCGTCCTGTCGTTAAGGTTTAAGGACTTTTTCTCATGTACTTTTTCCATTTCCTTAGTTTCTCAACAGTTACATTTTCTCACGATGTAGATGTTATCTCCATTTGCAGATGAGGAAACAGACTCAGAGGAATGAAGTCATTTGACCTGGAAGCAGCTAAGAGGATGGGGTCAACTTTCACAGATACGTAGAGGAGTCCAGCCGACGCCCTCCCCCCAAGCTGGGCGGTCTCCCTCTTTTCATTCTGAGATATGTGGTCTTCAACTCCGACCATGTTTCTGAATGAGTCCCATTTTTCATCCCCAAATCACTGCATCGTAATAAAAATATGCTGGGGCCCAGGTACTTATTTATTTCTCTGTAAGGCATCACAGGTGCACCTTTGGTTTAGAAAGATGGGCACAAGCTCTGGAACCAGAAGACGGGGCACGAGTCCTGCCTAGCACCCCTCTCTCTCACCTCCAACCCCAGGCGGTGACCATCCATCCAGTTCCAAAATGCGTCACTGGGGAAGGGTGTCTGGGAGTCGATGAGACCCTGCAGGTCCTTTGTGAGCCCTGGGGTTGCTGTGCACTTACTGGTCATCGTTCTTGGGGACCCGTCGAGTCTTCGGCCCAGTCTTCCCCTGCAGAACTCCTCAAGTTCAGGGTCACACTGGATGGGTTAGTTGGGAGCCCCTGTTTGCAAAACCACAGCCTAGCTTCTCCTTCCTGCACAGTTGTTTGTTGATGATTAAATTATTGCAAATTAGTTCTACTTGTAGTATAATAAATGTCATTAGCATGACTAATCACACACCTCATTATACAGCCCACTCCTCCCCCGGTGTGGTTTTTCGTCCTACACCTGGTGCATCCAGCGTTGACTTAGAGCCCTTGTTAAGCTGATGAATGGCGGGTGGGAGGGGGTGCTGGCGGGTATGTGCTCTGCTTCCTCCCATCGGAAAGACCTTTAGAGAGTGGCCAGACGCCAGGGAAAAGATGCTCAGGTCTCCTGCAGTACCAGGTTTGCCCTGCTCACTTGGCTTAGCTTCCAGGCACTACTGTTACTTTCGTTGCTATTATGTAATCATTGTGACCACCTTTGTTGAATTTACAATGTATCAGGCACTGAGTGAAACCCCTGTTGTGCTCATTGTTTTGTTCACAGATGTA